TTTTATTAGATAAAAAAAATAACCAACCATTATCAACAATGAACTTATTTAATTAAACAGCAGTTGTACCAAATATTTTCAGATCTTTTACATTAGGTTTGCGACCAGAGATACAAGCCGATGGGATATGATCGGCGGCGGCGGCGAAATTGTCGGCTCAATTTAACTTTTTCTTTAGAAATTGACCTTATAAGGTTTATTATATTGAAAAATCTTTGTATAATAGTCTGTTACATAGAAACCTGTCTCTATATAAGTTTTTTTCTGCAGAAAATGGACATTTATAGTAGTTTTCACTATTTTAATATTAGCACAATATTGTGTGGCAACTCTTTTCAATTTCCCATAAGAATTTAAAATAGTGGCAACTCCGTTCAGTTTGGTGAAATTATGTTCTGAAATACATGTGTGATTCTAATCTTTATCAGCGGCTACGTTTAAGCCGGCTTAGCTTTTGAGCCGAAAGAAGTCGGCGGCGGCGCGGCTTGCAAAATATTACCGGCGGCCAGCCGGCGCCGATTAAGCCGTCTCGGCTTGTATCTCTGTTTGCGACCCGTCCAGACTTCTTCATGAGTTTTGTTGAATAAATATCGCATATAATTTATGGTGAAGTTCGGAATCTTTCAATAGACATTGTGCCATTTCTACCAGTGTTCGGATATATAAATTTCTAAAGATTTATTAATTTTGTTGCTCCACCATTATCACTTCTTATTGCCTTTATTTGACGACTAGTTTGAGTTTCAACCATACTTTTAAAATTTTAAATTTATCAAACACTTCACTTTTTCGCTTGAAAAGTATGGCCTGATTTCTCTTGATTTATTATCTATGAAAGATAAAAATATTTGGATCCGAAAAGAGATTCCACATTCATTGACCATACACGTCTGAATTAAATCAATGACTTCTTCAGATTTCTTTTTAGATTGGTTTGGAAAAACCGATGTATGATTTTTTCCCACCATACACGTTTTACACTGATCTTGAGTTTCTTTATTCAAATCTAGTCCAGTTGCCATTTGTTTACTATATAATTCTTTTAAACTTTGATAATTCAGGTGACCAAGTCTTCTATAATAAATCGTTTTCTATATTAGCATATACTATATATGTAATCGCAGTTCATAAGAAGAGCTCCTTTTATATTGAACATCATTGTTCCGCCATTTTCTACAAACTTGCTTACTGACAAGAAATTTCCTTATAAATCTGTGGAATATTTAAACTTTAATAACATTGTCATTCATTTTTTATTTTTAGTGTAACCCTCTACGAAAAGATACTTATTTTAACCCTTTCCTGTTGCAATTATGGACTTTTTCTCAGCCAACATAATAATATCACATTATCATCAGATCTTGTAAATAACTTACAAATCATGGCTTGTAGCACCGCTATCTATGTATGTACCATGCTGACGTATCCAAACTTTTATTTTGTGCCGATGCAATTAATGAATACAAGTTTTCTTCACTTTTTGTTCTGCATTTGTTAATAATAATTGCCTTTCTTTTCTTTGAATATTATGCATTTTTATACCCACCATCAAAAAATATGGGGGTATATTGTTTTTGTCATTCCGTTTCTAACACATCGAAATATTGGTCATAGACCCACAAAATTATGTATATTCTGGGTCCTTATTAAATTCTAAGACAATCTAGACATGTCCATCCATCTGTCTGTCTGTTGAAAGCACAATAGGGTCCGAACACAAAGAGCTAGATGGTTGTAAATTTACACAAGTATTTTCTATAGGTAAGGTTTGTTTAGTATTGAAAATGGGCAATATCGGTTTACGTTTTCGCATAGCCCCCATACAAGTGTCCCCCCAAAAAGCTTGTTTTATCAAAAAAAATTATTTTTAACATTAATTAATATTAAACCTTTAACCTTATAATTCAAAATTTATCTCGATATGTTCATAATTCTGAGAGTTTACCACATTTATGGTTAGAAATAGTAGCGGTTTTCAATCTTGGTAGTATATTTAAAACCCTATTATATTTACTCCACCTTTTTTATAGAAAGCGTGAGCACCTTTTTGTTGTTTATTGTAAACTAGTTACAACAGCTGATTATTGTTATTACGCAAAAATGAAATTCAAGAAATAGAAGAAGAAATTCAATGTGCAGTTTTAAAGTTAATCACAAAATCAATGAAAGAGTATCTAAATATCTTCACACAACGAGATGTCAGCAGTTATTAAGAGTTTTTACAATATTATTTATGTTACCACTTGCTGGAGACATTCTTGCCATTTCCTAAAATCTAATTGCCGGGAGACATCTTAATTGTTTTCTTTGGTTTTGTTGAGGAAATGGGTGTATTAAGCAAAAAAGATATTTGCGTTCTGTCTCCAAATTTGTAATTTCCATGAACAAAAAACTTCATTAGACCATCCCACGGCAATTGCATCTCCGCTGCGTGACGACTCGAAATATACACGGCCAAAGATTGTCAACTCAACAGCAGTATCAACCAAAAAATATTTCTCCAAAATTTTTTTGATATTTCTTGTTCCTGAGATATTCCAAGAAGATCTATTTTTACCACATCTTATTTTTTTCACTTTTTATATTTTTGTAAAATTATGTTTTTTAATTTTCAATTTATGTTATTGGAGGTAAGCCGAGCAGCTGTTTATTTTGTTGGTAAATCTACCACGCCTTTAGTAAAGTCTAATGAAAAAATAATAAAAGTCGTATGATTTATGTGTATGGTATAAAACAATAACAAAGTAAGATGGAAACAGCTGTTTCACTTTTTTTGTATTTTCTCTCAATGTGTGAAGATTTACATATTGTGCTTAGATGATCCCATCTGTATCCTTCTACACAAAATTTTGACATATGATATTACCTGTATGCTCGTGTGAAGGGGCTTTAGAATAAATAATATTCATTGACTTAGAGAAAAAGTAGTGGCCTCCGGTAGGTTAGTGGTAAGTGTTCTAGTCTGGTAGACCGGAGGTGGTGGGTTCGATTCCCACCTGAGGCACTGGTTAAGGAGCGCACAACAGGCCCATTAGAGGCCTAGGTGTATTTCTTCGGATTTGATGTATATACATCCTTCTTTCAAACTAACTAACTAACTAGAGAAAAAGTATGTACTAATTTTTCACCTTTCTGATTCATGTTTCGAAAAATGCCTATTTAAGCTTCCCAAAAAAGTCTTGAAGTGTGTGGTTGAAATAAAATATAAATATTTATAAATTTAAAATATTAATTTTTAAATATTTATAATTTAAAAATTTTAAATATTTTCGAATGTGTAAAAACACATTCGGAAAACTTCATATCATTTTAAAATTACAAAACAAAATTCGTTCCTTTTAACAACATGCACAAATTAACCAAAAGCTTGATATCTGTAAATTTTAAGTTTATTAAAATATTAATATCTAAAATTTTAACCCCCTTATTCACAAACAAAATTTTTATTTTATAAACAGTTTATAAATTAGATTTTGTATGGAAATTTTGTTTTATAAACCTTTTATAAAATAAAAATGTTGTTTGTGAATAAGGGGTTAGGTATATAAGTAGAAATTACTTTTATTTCTACATTTAAAAAAAATAATAATTTTACCGCGTTTCGTATTTCGTCCCTTTCTGATTTTTTGGAATAAAGATATAACCAATTGAAACTTCTAAGTAAAGATATATGTAAATCTGTTTTATGCCATTATAAAGAAATTTATTCACAAATGTATTTCTTGTTATTTTATAAAGCTACAATTGAGATATCATTGAGTTATGCAACATTTAAAAAATGTATGAAAGAAGTACCAAAAATGCAAAACATTCCCCTCTTTATTAAATACAGACTTCCCAAATTTATGTTGTTTAATAAATGTCGCATCATCGGTATAATAATTATAAAAAAACACAAAACTCTCCTTTTTACCCAATTTGATTTGATTTTTCTAAAATACACCTTTTGACTGATTACAGCAAAATACTTCTAAAGTATTTGCATATTTCCGAAAAAGTACCAACACTACACATAATTACCCGTTTTACCCGTTAAGTTTGAATTACCCACATGACTATTTCCCCCTTCTGTTCCAACTTTCGCATCGAATCTTTCCCAATACACATTTCTGACACTTTAAAAACTAAATCGAAAGTATTAAGCTTTAGAAGAGACAAAAATCACTTTTTAAGGACAAAAACTGTAATTTTCATCATTTTCCTCATTTTTTACCCGTTTTGGTCAAACTTTCACAACGGAACTTTGCTAATAAAAATATCTTACACTTTAGATAGCTAAATCGAAAATAATTTCGGGTTAGAACATACAAACATCAGTTTTCAAACACAAAAGTATCGATTTGCCCAGTTTTTCGCCCTTTTCCCAATTTTGATACCCGTTTTGTTCCAACTTTAGCAAAGCAACTTTGCTAATATATATTTCTGACACTTTAGAATGCTAAATCAAAAATATTTTCGCATTAGAATAGACAAAAATAAGTTTTATGCACAAAAGTACCAATTTTGCCGTTTTTCGCCGTTTTCACCCATTTTTTAACCCCTTCTAGTCCAATTTTCGAAAAGTAATATATATAGCCTATTGACGCTTCCAGACATCTTTCAATGCTTCAAATTTGAAGAAAATCGGTTCATCCGTTTAGGCGAAAGAAATTTATAATATATACCTATTTGGATATTAGGATATTAAAAATAACTAAAACTCGAAATATTAAATTGTTTCTTCCAAATTTAAAATTTTTTTGCATTTTCTTTCTAATAAAAATGTAAAAAATTTGACGTCCTAGATTTATTCCAAAATTTTTTTTTGGACTTAGACGGCCTAAACAAAGAAATCCACATCGGTTTTATATCATGAGCAAAATCATTGTAAACTAGTGTAGTTAAATGCTGACAATTGCAAACTTTTTCATATAATGTTATCTATTTTCAAAAATTTCCCCGATGTGAAAGTTATTTTTTCATTTATACGTACAATGTGTAAATCATATGCAAAAAATTACCTGTTTTGACTATCGTTGCAATAGACGTAAGTTCCTGGTTCGGAGGATTCTGATATTTTGCCATAATAGTCTGTTTGAATAAAAATTGGAATATTGTCGTTAACATCTAAAATGTGAACAATAACATTATGAATCGATGATGCCGACGCCATATTCGTTCCCTTTATTGTTAGATTGAACTGCCTTAAAAAACACATTTATATATTATTTTTATACATATAAATATTTATATTTATAATTTACCTATTATTTTCGTAATCAATTTTTGAATTCACCAATATAACGCCAGTGGAGGGGTTTATGTAAAAAAAGCCTTCATCGTTTCCTTCAACTATATTATAAAAAACGGATGACGATGATCTGGTCTCCAATTTAGTTACGAAATATCCTACCGGAAGATTTTCATATAACTCAATTGATGATGTAGGTGAATTAAATTTTGGAGGATCATTATCTGCCATTGTTACAATTATATGAACTGGTATTTGAGATGATAATGGAGGATTTCCACAATCTACTGCTTTCACTTGTAGCATATATTCTTGCATCTGTAGTATGTCAAGGTTTTGTGAAAGATATATTGTTCCAAGAATGTTATCAATCTCGAAAATATTTCCTACATTACCACTCACAATATGATATCTAATTTCGCCATTCTTACCGCTGTCTCGATCTATTGCATTTAGTTGTGCAACTTTGGATTTAATTGCTGAGCTTTCCGGAATTTTACTTTGGAGTATTTTGCTCGTAAATTCTGGGTAATGATCATTGTGATCATATACATTGATAATTATTTTTGCATAATTTCTTTTAGCTGGTGTTCCTTGATCTTTTGCAATAACAGTTAACACATGACGTTTTATCCTTTCATAGTCTAATCTCTGCGTCACTATGACATTTCCTGTCACCGAGTCAATCCGAAAAAAATGTAAAGATGATGGATCTTTAGAACCATGTAAAGTATAAAATATTTTCTTTTCTTCATCGTCATCAGTTGCGTGTAACTGCATTATTATTGATTCTTCTTTGACACTCTCCGAGATATTAACAATATATAATTCTTTTGTGAACTGTGGTCTGTTGTCATTCGTATCAACCACATGGACATATAATTTAGTTTCAACAACATTTGTTCCATCAGCGACGCTTATAGTTAAATTGTAAAATTTTTGAAACTCCCAGTTTAAGGATTTGGATAATAAAACATTTCCGTTATCATGTCCAATATAAAATTCATTATTTTCATTTCCACCTAAAATACACATAAAAAAGTTATACATATATTAATACTGAGCAGCAGGCATGTTCACTCATGAAGAAATCGATATACATAAGTACATTAGAGGAGCCCAAAAATAATTATATGAAATTATTTGTTGAGCTCGAGTCATTGGGGAGAAAATCTTTTTTCTGTTCGGAATTTTTGATGATGATCGTAACATCGTTAAAACATTAATGTAGTAGTAATTTAACAATATATAATTTATATTTTAACAATTTAACAATTTTTATTTTAAGAAAATCTCCATTTATAAAGAAGGGTATAAAGTAGCAATGAAATTAGGTCGATATCCTTCAAATATTAGTGGTACCTGCGATTTGAATTTTGGGGATTTCGGAGAAAAGAATTTTTTGTAAAATAGGTTATATTATTTACTGTTATGCATTTTATATACAGTGGTTGTCAGCTTATTTGATGCAAGTAAAATCATTGTATTAAAATTCATGTAACTCTATAACTATTTCGGTTTTTTAAAAAAATTAAAAGCCCAGTTTATTAAGAACTATTCCAATTTCGATTAATTAATTCATTTATTTCATATTTTATACTATCTTAAAGAAAAATTAGAAAAAACAAAAAAAACTCCATTTTTAACTTAAGCAGCTTATTTGATGCAAAACGTTGTTAATAAAAAATAACAGTGGTTTTTGTCTATATTGCTTTAATTAATATTTAGTATGGTAGCCTTTTTGGTCTAAAACCGCTTTCAGTCGATTTGGCACTGAGTTAACCAGTTTTTGTGTGGTTTCTGCAGTTATTTTGTTCCACTCTTCTAGTAACGCTTTTTTTAACAATTCCTTGCTTGAAATGTTATGATTTCTTATATTAGTTTCTAATAACGCCCATAAATTTTCGATTACGTTCAAGTCCGGAGACTGTGCAGGTGGTTCCATCAAATGGGGACAGTTCCATATGAGCCAGGTTTGAACCATATTAGATTTATGCTTTGGGTCGTTATCTTGATAGAATCGGAAGTTGTCCCTCAGACCCAATTTTTCTGCACTTTGAATCAAATTTTCTTTAAGAATATTCAAGTACATTGTTTTATCCATATTTCCTTCTATGAAAACTAAATTTCCAACACCCGTTGCGGCCATACAAGCCCACACCATAACGCTTCCTCCGCCATGTTTAACGGTCGCGGAAAGATTTTTTGATTGAAGCTGAGTATTTGGTTTCCGCCAAACATAAGATCTTTGGGCTAATAAATGGCTTCTTCAGTGGTACTCTGCCATGAAAGTCATGTGAACGTAAAACACGCCGAATTGTTGATGCACTACACATCTTCCCAATACCTTTGGCCACTTCATCAGCTATTTTTTGTGCCGATAACTTTGGGTTTTCCTTAATTTTTCTTATTATCCAACGTTCATCACTTGCGGAGAAAATTTTGTTAGGAGCAGATCTGCCCTTATTTTCAATTCTGTTCTCCTTTGTATAGCGCTCTATTATGTGTTGGACTGTAGATGAAGACAAATTCACTATTTCTGCTATTTTACGCTGAGTTTTTCCAGTTTTATAATGATGGATAACCAATTCTCTTTGTTCTATTGTTGTACGCCGACCCATGATCAATAAAATCTGTTTATTACTTTCAAACTCCAAAAAAATACTAAAATTATGCAAACCTTAGTAGATAATGTCAGCATAATGTAAACCAAGTTGTTTTTTTAATATAACTGTATTACTACAGTTAAAGTTTTTTTTGCATCAAATAAGCTGAGCGATGAAAAAAAGCGCATTTTTTGTTTTTGTTTTTTTTTTTTCATATTTTACAACAAAAAAAATTTAAAAAAAAATTGTTTTTTTTAAGGGACCATGTTAGCAATTAAAGTGCGTTTTGTTTCTTTTTAATAGTTCTATTAATTTATGAGTTATACTGATTTAAGTATTTTAGATTAGCTTGCATCAAATAAGCTGACAACCACTGTATACATACATACATACATACATACATACATACATACATACATACATACATACATACATACATACATACATACATACATACATACATACATACACATACATACATACATACATACATACATACATACATACATACATACATACATACATACATACATACATACATACATACATACATACATACATACATACATACATACATACATACATACATACATACATACATACATACATACATACATACATACATACATACATACATACATACATACATACATACATACATACATACATACATACATACATACAGTGATGTTCGATGAAATAGAGCCACCATCACGTTCAAAGTTTCTCTCCACTTAAAATCTCTCCTACAAAGAATAGAGTTGGAAAAAACTAACTGAAATGTTGTATTGATCTGTTATGAATATAATACCATTATTTTTGCAATAATTTACGCGTCGCTATTCGTAATTTTGATGAAATTTTAAATTAAGCTTTATAAAATGGTGTGACAAAAAATAGAGCCAGTTTGCAAAAATATAAAAATTTAACAATTTTTAGACAATTTTCAAATTGAAATCGATCCAAATAGTAAGTTTAATGCTTTTTATTATTATTTTAAAAGAATCTCATAATTTTGAGTACAAAAAGGGGCAGAGGCAAACATTGCAGGCGATACAGCAGAAATACGATAAAAACACTCCATGATCTGGATAAGGGCTATAGACAAAATGTTGAAATAATTAGGTGCTCCAAGAAAGTTATAGAAGATGCTGTAAAATATAAGTTTAAGCCAAAAAATATCGAAAAAAAAAATAAAAAATTACATCTTTTTTAAAGCGAAAAAATCAGATTCATGCAGAGGATGACACTTTCGTGTGCTCCGTGTAACCTTAAAAGGGAATATAACTTAGATGTTGCCAGCTTAATAGTAAGATCTCTAATGTATAAAAATAATTTAAAGGACAAAATTAGTAGAAAAGTATTATATGGTACTTTAAAGATCCTGAAGAAAAAATAAAATTTTTCAAAAACCTTTGAAATCTCCCCTTGAGCAGGAATCGAAATATTTTGTGGTCAGATGTAAAAAAGTATATTTATTTTATTCTGATATGATCCGTATAGCTATACGTAGACGTTCCAACACTGGATTTTGTCCCCAATGTGCTATGAAGATCATTGAACATGGTGGCGGATACGTAATGGTATGGGGTTATTTTTTCTTGTTTGGAACATGGTCCCTATTTCGGTTTGAGGGAAGATAGGACCGTAAATATTCCATAATTATAATTAATGATGCTATGCTGAATGAGAAATAGCACTTTTTAAGAAGATTCCTACTATTGTGTCCTCAAAAGCGCAATTTTTTTACATGACTCCATATTTCTTGCTCCAAAAAGAGGTGTTATTTCTTATTCCTTCTTGATATTTCTGTTTTAAACTTATGTATTTCTACAGTTTATACTATTTTTTGGACCATAGAATTATTTCAACAATTTGCCTATAGCCCTTACCTTGAACATGGCGTATTTTTATAATTTTTCTGCGGTCTCGCCTGCAAAGTTTGCTTCTGCTTCTTTTTGGACTCAAAATTATTGCTTTTAAATGAGATTATATTAGGATTGTAATAATAAGCCTTAAACTTACAATTTGTATCGATTTCAATTTGAAAATTGTCTACAAATTGTTAAATTTTTAATTAATTTAAAATTTCATTATAATAACGAATAGCGACGCGTAATTATTGCAAAAATAATGGTATAATATTCATAACTGATTCAATACAAATTTCAGTTAGTTTTTCCAACTCAATTCTTCATTGGATGAATTTTAAGTAAAAAGTAAACTTCCCGAAAGATGAGGTGGCTCTATTTTCGGAACACACTCAACATACATACACAACACATAAGACATCGCCTACAAGACATACACCACATCAGACAGACATACATACATAACATACATACATACATACATCCACAGAGACATACCACATGACACACACCATACACACAGACATACATACAACATACATACCATACATCACATACAACAACATACCAACATACAGACATACATCAGACATACATACATACATACCAACCATACATACATACATACATACATACATACATACATACATACATACATACATACATACATACATACATACATACATACATACATACATACATACATACATACATACATACATACATACATACATACATACATACATACATACATACATACATACATACATACATACATACATACATACATACATACATACATACATACATACATACATACATACATACATACATACATACATACATACATACATACATACATACATACATACATACATACATACATACATACATACATACATACATACATACATACATACATACATACATACATACATACATACATACATACACACATCTGCAGTTTTAGTAAAATCGAATAATGTTAATCCGTAAACTGTGAAGTTCAAACTTAAGCTGCGCAATATGGAAAACTTTCCTAAAACCAGAGTGAAATATCATTTTGTTTTCAAATGATTTAAATGAAACTTATACCCCATTTACACGTATACGAAATCTAGTAGATTTCATTTAAAATCTTTTTGCAAATCTAGACCGTTTACACGTATGTTTCAACTGAGGCGATTTGAGCAAATCTAGTGGATTTTGACAAAACTAGTTGAAATCATGTCACACAGTTTTGACAAATCCAAATCTACTTAATCTACTACATTTGATTTAAAACATGTCGAAAATATAACTATAGGCTATCCAATCAAGTTGACTGTTTTCATCGATAAAGTGACTTTTCATTTCGAAATAAAAACAAAACAAATTATAATTTTAAAATTAGTGGCCACTGAACACTAAGAAGCAGTGTGACCAGGTCTCAAAAAATGTTGCGGCTAGATCCCATCCAAAATAATGCTAGAAAAAATGCTAAATTGATTTTAAAATGCCAAAAAAATGCTAAAATTTTTTAAGTGTTTTTATGAACAATTCATA